GGACTGCAGCCTATGGGGAGACCATGCATGTGTAGGGACTGCAGTCTGTAAGTCACTACCTTTCTCTTGACTTCTCTGTAGAACTAAAACTTCTCTAAAAAGTAAAATACTATTTTTTTAAAAAAAAGAAGAAATCCCTCTGGGATATTTAATGAGATTCCCTTAAATTACATTTTATTTATTTTGAATGTATATAGTGGTGTTTAGGAGTGGGGATGCACAAGCAGAGGTAAAATAACTTGTGAGAGTTGGTTCTCTGCTTCCACCATGCAGCGCCTAGAGACTGAATTCAAGTCATCAGGCTTGGTGTCCAGTGCTTTGATCTTCTGAGGCATCTCGTGGCTCAGTGGGTCAGAGGGAGTCCGCCTGCACTGAGCCCCTTCCTTACCCTGCTCCAGTGTAGAAAGAGTCCAAACACATCCCAGGAAGACAGGCACCTGGGGACTGACTCCTGAAGAACGTCTCACAGGTACAAGAGACAGTGTGAGTGATTCATGAGTAGGGTTGAGAAGGACATTGTCAGTCTCACCAAGACGAACCCTCTGTCCCTTTGGATCTACCAAGACCTCTCAGGTCACAGAAGATTTATGACATAGGACACAAGAAAAAAATCACAAGTCTAGGACTAAACGTAGTGAATGGGATGCAAACCCTTTATACGGAACCATCAGGAAACCAAGCCAACACCAGGATAGGTGTTGGAGCACAGGGCAGGCTGAAGAAAATTCTCTGGTTTCAGTGAGGGAGGAGACGCTTCTACTGGGGACTCACTGGCAGTTGCTTGTTAGGAGCCTGGGTCTCCTCTTTGTTTCTACCACTTAGGGCAATAAGTGTCAACTCCAGACCTAGGCTGGTAGAAATTGCAGCGTCTAGTGAATGTGCTAATCAGATCTGGAGCTATTAGTGTCCCCGACTGTTTACATAGGTTGCCTGGTTACTCGGTATCCTCTATGCATGCTGGGAGAAAAAAAGTGGCACACTGATTTAAAAAACAATCCGTGTGCCGGGCGGTGGTGGCACATGCCTTTAATCCCAGCCCTCGGGAGGCAGAGGCAGGTGGATCTCTGTGAGTTCAAGGAGCTAGTTCCAGGACAGGCTCCAAAAGCTACAGAGAAACCCTGTCTTGAAAAATGAGAGAGAGAGAGAAAGAGAGAGAGAGAGAGAGAGAGAGAGAGAGAGAGAGGAAAAACAATACGTGCCCCATTCATAATTTTACTGAAAATAAACTTTTTAGCTCTTTACTAACCACCTAAAAATGTAGCGAAGCACACTAGCCTTCCCCTCTAGAATTCCCTGATGATTTAATTCCTTTTTTAACTAACTTTCTCCATTAAGGACTTCACCAGATATGCACTAGCCATTTGAGCTGACAGCCAAGGATCTCTCTCTCTCTCTCTCTCTCTCTCTCTCTCTCTCTTTCTCTCTCTCTCTCTCTCTCTGTGTGTGTGTGTGTGTGTGTGTGTGTGTGTGTGTGTGTGTGTGTGTGTGTGAAAACTCATATCTGATTTTTATGGCGCAAAAGAATCCCATCCCTGGAACCTGATAGGGCTGGGGAATTGCTGGTTATAAGGGTATGTATGACTGGAAATGTTTGAATTGGAGGGAGAAAAAGAAGGAATAAGGAGAAGAATAAAGAGACATGGATAGAAAGAACCTGTTGTGAGTAGATTTCTCAACCCTCAGATTCAAGCCCCCTTCGCTTTTTGTGGTGTTTTTAATTGAGCCCTGGGAGGGATTCCTTAGAAGCTGGACTTTTAAGGACCAGGATAAGACGGGGACTTCTCAAGCACCCAACATATGTATACAGTAGCAACTGTCCCACCCAGCAGCAACTCTGAGAAAATGTACTAAGTGTGAGAAGCAGCAAGTCTGAGGACAAGAAGGGTGAACTCCCAGAACCTTGTCTTCTAACTGTTTGGAGTGCATCTATCCACTGAGAAGCAGGGGCAAAATGAGAGGGAATGTAGTGTCCTATGAAGCTTGCGTGTTGAGGGAGGCGAGCGTGCTTCTGCACACACGCTTTCTCTCTGTCCTAACAACCCTGTAAACACAGTGTTACGACTTCCAAAAGAAGTAAGCACTTCTTTTGTAGGATTCTAAGAATTGAACTCATGGCCTTGTGCATGCTAGGCAAGCACCCAGCTCCCTCCACCTTAAGATTTAAAATAAAAGAAACTGAGAAATTGAGAGACGTGAAGGAGGGGAGTCCTCCTGTTCCCTAAGATCAGAGCTGGGGTTCAAGGTTGATGTTCTGAGGATAGAGTTCTTTGCAGAAGTCAAGCCCATATCTTGGTAGAGAAATCAAAGTTCAGGAAGACACATGAACTCTTGAGTTTGTGGTTAGAGAATGAATGTTCCTTGTCTTCCAAGTCAACGGTGTTTAGATATTTCATAGGGATTGGGAGGTGCCTAGTGCCAGATGTTTCCAGTACATAGTCCCTATCCTTTGACACCCCCGGCTTTTCTATAGCCTGGCTATGAATGCTTTCTGAAAATATTACAGATATTAAGTTCTCTGAGTGGCTTTTAGCTGTCTTCTTCCAGCCATCCTGCCCCTCAGCCTAAGTCCTTGGCACCCCCAACCACATTAGCCATGCAGGCTGTTCCACCCTCAGACCTACAGCCTGTAATCCTATTTGTAGACCTGTGTTTATTTAAAAAATATCTAGCTTCTCACTCACCAGCTCCCTTGAGAAAAAGAGATTTCTGGTAGCAGAGTTGAGCTCCTAACCTTCCCGCTGGAAGAGCCGAGAACAGATCCAGTGAAGAGCTCCCACAGCATCAGGCACAGCAAGAACACACAGACCTGTACAGATCAGACTTCACTCGGGGATCCAAGTGAACTGCACTTGTGTGACTCCTGCAGAAGAGGCCAGGCTGTGTTTGAAGAGCTCTGAAGTTTATCCCTAGCTACTGCCCTGCCCTCACAGGAGTCCAGTAAACAGCGGGAAGGAACCTTGCCAACAGTGCAGAATAGGAACTTCCAGAAACATGAAAATGAAAGCAAACTTCTCATTATGTAACAGTTCCTAGGCATAGAAACTGAAAGACACCGGGGCCATAGAGTTGGGTCGCCCTGCTTTTGTTACAATAATGAGGCGCAGGAAATCTGGGCAGGAGGATGTGTGTCCAAGGAGGGGTCATTTCATCTAGCCCCCCCCCCAGGCTGTATTTATGCCGTCCAAGAGCTGAACCAGATCTCAGAGCCCACAAACCCACTCATGATCTTGCTCCACCACCTACACAACTGACCTCCGTGGGGGCAATAAACTAATGTGCTTACTTTACACCCCAGTCCTGGGTGCAGACTTTCCAAAACTCTCTGAGTCTCCTCATTAACTCATTATGGACTCTCAGCGAATCTCCAGGTCCCACATAGGAAATAATACATACATACATACATACATGCTTGCTCAGGCTTGGCAATTTGCTAGACTAGCTCTCAGGACTCTGGAGCGTGCTAGATTCACAACTTCAGTTTCATTGCAAAAAGAATGCATAGGGCAGGTCTAGGAGGGAGCACGGAGCATGCCCCCTCCTCCCTGGAATCAGGATACACCCTCCTCCAAGCATATTGGTGCATTAATCTCCCATGAGGCTCCACTGAGCTTTATAACCTAGGGACTATGCTGTCTGCCTCTAGGTCCCTTCCCCTATACAGGTGACTGCGAGAGGTAACTAGAAGCAACCCCGGCATCTGAGTCCTCTGAATGGGAGAGAGGAATAGCCCCAGGTGAGTTCCATTCATCCAGAAGAAGAGAAGTTGCCAATACTGAAATAAAAACAATATCACCACAGATATAAACATTAAACAGCATAGTGATTCCCTATTGATGCTGTAACAAGCTAGGCAGTGCAAATGCATCATGGTGCTGCAATTAGGAAATCCAACCAGAGTTCCACTATCAAGACATCTGCAGGGCTGTAGCCCAGTAGGGAGAGTGCTCGCCTGGCACTCATGAAGCCATTGGTTCCACCCTTGGCACTATATAAACTGGGCTCGGTGATATGACCCTGTGATTCCAGCACTTGGGAGGTGGAGGCAGGAAGATCAGAAATTCAAATTCAAGTAGTTCAAAGTTAGCTTGTGTTACTTGAGACCGTCTCATAAAGACAGGAAGTGGGGAAGGGAGGAAGGAAGAAAAAGACAGCCAGCTAGACATCCGCAGAGCTGAAGGAGAATGTTTGTCTTGCTAGTTCCAGAAGCTTCTCAGATTCCTTGGCCCTCTTCAAAGCTAGCTAAGCTGCCTTTCTCTGACCCCTCCTCAGTGACTACGCCTCACTCTGCTTTTCCCTTCTGCCTCCCTCTTCTAGTTTTAAAACTTCTGTGATCGCTAAAAATAACCAGGCCAACTCTACTAACACGCACAAACCTTCACTGGCAGGTTTCCATCCCCTTTGTAACCTGGCATTTCTGGGATGACTATAAAGGTATCTTTGGGGCTAAAGCATGTTGCATTATTCTGACTATTGCAAACACAGAAGAAAACAGTGCACACAGATGCATCCTGGCAAACTTGGAGACAAAATGGACAAACTCTTCATCAGAAATTATTTTGAAATTATAAAAACCCGTTTTGCCAAGGAAGCTGCAGACTTGGCACAAAGCCAGGTGGTTTTCCTCGTGCTGCCAAGACAGGTCAGCCAGCCCACTCGGGCTGTTTCTGAGAGTCCCAGCACAACAGGACGGACTTCCCGGTTCTAGCTTTTGGCAGTTCTTTCTTTAAACATCTTAACCTAGGAAGTGGCAGGGTCTTCCCATCCTGTTTTGCCTCCTTATTTATTCCATCGCCAACATAGCAATCCCGTGTGAAATTCCTGATAACCCCCTGCTGGTCCAGAGAAGGCATTTAACAACAGTCAAGGGAAATAAAGAGTTTTTGAGCAAAGACTACGGAGGGACTCACAGCTCTGAGCGCTGTAGCACAGCGCCCCACAGTGCCCACTACCCGCCCAGCATCTAGCTGCCTGGTACTGTGCAGCCCGTGGCCCTGCACTTCACCATGGAGCGCCATTGAGGATTTTTAGGAAGAATTTGACTTTTTTCATTCTATTGATACATACCAGTTGTACATTTTCCTGTTAATTGCATTAGCATACTCTAATTATATAAGTGGTTTCAAGACATTGTCTGCATGTGTGTGATATACTTAGGAGTATGCATAGCCCTACTGCCCCTTTGTCTTCATTTGCACAGAATTCAATTTCCACACTTATAGAATGGATGTGTCCTGGCCAGTGCACCCTGCCTGATCTTCCCGATTCCTGGTGATTACTTTCAGTTCCTCCTCAGTTTCCACACGTGAGAAAGCTCAGTCTCTCATTACTAGACCCAGGGCCTTTGGCTTTCACACATTTTGCTGTAAACAGGGTATCTTTGGCTTCCTGTGTGAAAAGCTGCCTCCTCTTGACTGCAGGTATGAACAGTATGTCTCAGTCATGTGCAGACACCCTTCTGTGCATCCCCAGCAGTGACAGGGCTGGACCCAAGGGCAGTCCTAATGACACTGGTTCTCGTCTACATGTGGGGTACTGGTATTTCCTTTTTCACAAAGGGATATTCAGATCATTTGCCTACTTTAAACACTGTATTTTTATTTTAAAGACAGGGTCTCACTGGTAGCCTTGGTTAGCCTAGAATTCAGTATGTAGCCCACACTGATCTCAAATTCAGAGATCTATCTGCCTCTGCTTCCTGAGTGCTGGGTTTAAAGACATCCGACAGACACCTCAATGGACTAAATTTGGATTCCTTTCTGTTCTCTGTGGATATGGAGCCTGCCCTCTTCTCATTAAAGATTCTGCTCACCTGGTGACTCTCTGCTATTTGGAAGCCATTAGCCTGACAGAAGCCACATGTGGACTCGTTTCTCAGCAGCACCTTACCAGTGTCCATGTGTGGGCTCTCGTTTCTTAGTACCACCTTACCAGTGTCCACGTGTGGACTCGTTTCTCAGCAGCACCTTACCAGTGTCCATGTGTGGACTCGTTTCTCAGCATCATCTTACCAGTATCCACGTGTGGACTCGTTTCTCAGAATCACTTTACCAGTGTCTTGAACTTTGTTTTTCTCTTACTCTGTTTCTAGCCACACTTGGGTCTTTGATCCATTCGAGTTGCTTTTTGCCCAGGTTGAGAGATGGACTTTTTATTCTTCTGCATGTACACACCCTGCTTCCCTACCACCACACTTTACCTGTCATTTTTGCTTGTTTCTGGCACCTCACCTTTGTAACGTACAGATGAAGCAATCACATCAAAATACTGTCACTCTACACGGGGGTGGAGCAGAGACAGAGAAAGAGGGAGGGAGAGAGGGGGAGGGGAAGGGATCTATGAGGGCCAGGCACTACTACTTTGATATTAATTTCTGTTATGAGAGCGCCACCTACTGTCTGGTTTTAGAATGCAATGCTAAGGTTGGTTCAAATCCTCTTCATCTTGAAAAATGAAACAAAAACATTATCCTCTGGCCTCTGCACATGCACACCCACACATGTGTATATAAAACACACAGAAAAAACCTTGCAGTTACACACTGCACTTCAAAAATTCAATGACAAAGCATAAAAACCATTTGTTTTTACTGTTTAAAATAAACATCAACTATATACACTGTGGAGCCAGAATGACCGTCACAGAGTGTGGATGATAGTCCGGTTTCGAAGTTGCTGAATATACTCCTTGGCATGGTCAACTGTTGTCTTGGGTGCTTCGGGTAGAGGTGGGGGTCCTTCCACCAGCTTCACAAAATAGTGGCAATAGACCTTTTCCATGATACCAAAGCGACCTCGGCCATGGTAACGGATGCGCTTCAGGCACTGGCCCCTTCCTGAGGTGGACTCAGCTATAGAGGAAAGAAGAGAGAATTATGGACATGTCTGCTATCCATAGGACTGCCATCTGCACCAGCTGAGCAAGTCCTGACCCATCTTTCACTAGATCCAAAGAAGCAGGAGCTTACTGGTTGGCTAGAGCACACTCGTCTCAACCACAAGTCTCTTGAGCACTAAGTGAGAGCCATGCACTGCTCTACAAGGTGAATCATGGACCCTGCTGCCACAGTTTATGTTGGAGGAAGACAGAAAATATGGTAACACCTTCAATTAATGCAAGTTTTGTGAATTAAACAAATCTGACTAGCATGACATCGACTGATGGGATGGTAGAGGCGTCTCTGAAACTTGACCTGAGACCAGAATCACCCTCCATCCCTGCTCCTGTGAGAGGGCCGTAAACACATCCCAATCTGGGTACACTCAGCTTGTTTAGGAAGACAACAGGGGCACACTGACACTAGCCACGTTTAAAAGGAACACAAACAAAGAGGAAATGAGAGACAAGCATAGGGGAACAGATTCTATACGGGCCTACATGCAAAAGAAAATTCCATTCCCTAACACACAGATAAGAAAGGCAAGAATGGGGCTGGTAAAATGGCTCAGCATGTAAAGCTCTTGCCATGAGAGCCTGACAACCCAAGTTTGCCCTTGGAATCCACATAAAGGTCAAAGAGATATGACCTCCACAGGCAAGCGATGGTGCATGTGCATATGTACATAGCTTGGGTACTCTGAACAGTGCCCCAGTGAACACAGGTATGCAATGGTCTATAGTAAGGTGACTAAGTCCTTTGGATGTGTGCTGTGGGTGCTGAGGCTGCATCATGTGCTTGGTCTGTTCTAGCTTTTGAGAGCTCTTCATCCTGATTTCCTCAGTGGCTGGACTAGTTTATATTCCCACCAGGAGTGTTTTAAAGTTCCCACTGCCACTCTGGCTGAGGATGTTGAACTTTTGTTCATGTAGTTTATATTTTTTTCTTAAGAACTGTGTAATTCATTTGCTTGCTTATTGATTGATGATTCAGTGGTTTTGGTTCATCTGTGTCTCTCTCTCTTTTATAGATCAGCAGGTCCTCCACCCTGATGACTAGAAGGCTCAG